CCGGCGAATGCCCCTCCCCAAGACCCCCGGCCCCCGCAACCCCGCTGCCCTGCAAAACACCCCGGCCACCAGACCATCGGCTCCACAACCCCGACACCGCGGCCTGCCAACCCCTCCCCGCCCCCGCACTGGGGCAACCCCTCACCCGCCAAGGGGGGTCCGCGCCCCGGGGGGGGACCCCATGTCGGGGCATTTTCTGCACGAGACAAAAAATGTCAGGGGCTGCACGACGGCGATGCGCACCCCCCAATTTTTTTATTTTTTTTTTCCCCGTACTGGGCCGGGGTCCCAGGTGCCAACCCCCGAAACCCCAGAACCCGGCGGGGTCCCAGGGCCGGGGGTTGACAACCCTGTCCTCCCTCTGTCTCCTTCCAAATCTGTATCTGAATCTTGTGACATTTTCCCTGTTCCTTCGTCCTCCTCCCCCCTCGAAGCCGCTGCTGTGTTCTTCGTATCCCCAGAAGATGATATGTTTGTAGAGCTGGTTCGACCAACTGAAGGCCCATGTTCTGCCTGCTGGTTCGTTGATGTTGCTGCTGACATGTAGTCTGAAGGAGCTGTAATTTCCATTTCTTTCCCTTGAGATCCCGGTTCCCCCTGTCCTTCTTCTTTCATATTTGCCTTGTGCTCCTGATCCCCCTTTGAAGAAGCTTCATTTGTTTCCTTCCCTGAATGTGATCTCTTTGGCCCTTGATATGAGCTATCCCCTTTCACTGATTCCCTGTTACTGATTTTCCTCTTAAGAGAGGCTAAGGATTCTCCCCCCTTCCCCTCGCCTTCAATGACTCTGTCTCCCTCATCCTCTCCCATCTCTTCCTCCCTCGTTCCCTTACTACTTGGATCGATCTTACTTCCTTGAACTGCATCTTCCCCCTTTTCCTCCGAACCTCCCTCTGCTGCAGAAGTTTGTGCCTCCTCTCTTGCTCTTCTGTTTTCCAAGAAGGCCAGCTCCGCTGCTTGGCCCACCTTGTGTAGTTCTGCAATGGTCTGTAGTCTCTGCCTGTCATCCAGCAATGAGGCATCGTCTATCATGGGCTTAGTGATAAAGCCCACGTCCCTGTCCACCATCCGCTTTGCACCCGTTTGCCACCATCAGTACTGTCATATGGATGGTAGATGTCCGGTTTCACCGTTGGTGTGCTGCGAAGGACACACACCCATCGTGGGATGTCCAGGTTGTCATCGAATATCCAGCCCCTATATTGTACTGAATTGATGAACCAAACCCCTGGTTTGTTGCCTGATTCCACAACATTGATTGCTTTAATTGTGGCTGACTACTTCCTGACCCCGACCCAGACTGTGGGCAATGCATCCCCAAATGCCCCTTACCCCTGCACTTAAAGCAAAATGGAGTAGTTTTCATGGAAATGAAAACAATAATTTTTTTTGTCCGCCTGCGAAAAATCCAGACCTCTGAAAACTTTCGTGGAACTCCCGACTTAACCTCCAAACATACCACCCTTGAATCATGGTTCGGAGCAAGAAATTCTTTCTGTCCGCCTGCGAAAAATCCAGACCTCTGGAAACTTTCGTGAGCTCCCGATAGTAATTCTTTCTGTCCGCCTGCGAAAATCCAGACCTCTGGAAACTTTCGTGGAGCTCCCGACTTAATCTCCAAACATACCACCCTTGAATCATGGTTCGGAGCAAGAAAGTCCGGATTAGTAGGGAGCCACTCTATGATCGGGTTATTTGGGAATTCCTCCATCAGACGTTGTTGAACGAAGCTATGCATACCCTCCGACAGGTTGTCAAATTGTACCCAAAAATGATCTCTAAGCATGGACTGCCCGTGTCTCGATGCTTTCGCCGGTGGTGGCTGAGGAGGCTTTCATGCTTGAATGGTTACCACGGACCTATGACATTTGAGAGAACCCAGGGATAGTAAAAATTGTGCATACGTTGGATCCACACAAACTATCATTACCGTAAATCTTCCCCTTTTGTGATATGACACCTCTGGTTTCATGCCTGGGATGTGCTAAAGTCCCCTTAACCTCTCCATCACCCATTTTTTTTTTTCATTGAGAGAGAGTTCCCTGTTTTTGCCTGAAAAATTAAATAACACCGCATGACGTGCATAGAGATCGTGAAGTGACTTCAGGTCCTGTTTCGGGTACTCCCATACATCAACTTCCTCCTCCTTTCCATCTTGTCCCTTGACCACCTCTTTTGTGACTTTGACCAGTGCCGTGATTTTTGTTTTTTCCATCGAGAGTTTTTTGTCCCAGCGCTCTGGATTGGCTAACCCTGACGCCAAAGTTTGACATGCTTTGTGATGCTGATTGTCCCTGTCCCTTCAGTTGTTCACTCTCCCTCCTATCCTTTTCAGTCATAGCCCTTTGGGCTGCCATTACGTATGTGAACGACATTTTCAAAATCCCTGTGCTAGCCCCTGAACCGGAGTCTAGCCCCCCACCCTCCACTACGATCAGTCCTTCACTCTCTAAGTCTTACCTTGTGTGTCCACCCCCACCTCATCCAGCACCTTTTCGTTCCTAAGCCGTGTCCACTCGTTGTCTTGCCGCGTTCGGCTCTTTTTTTTTTTTTTTCCAATTGAGTACTCTTGGTTGATGTCGAGTTCTAGTCTATACTGCTTGTTCCCTTCCCCTTCCCATTATCTTCTTAAGTCCCGTTCCCTTCCCTTCTTATCTACACCTCTCACCCTTCCGCTTCCCCTTCCTCCTTATGTCTCGTGACTTTCTCTTCCTATGCCCCGTCCCGTCTTCGTCCCTCTCCCTTTCACTTCCCTCTTCTTCTTATGGCCCGTTACTTCCCGTTCCTATGCCACGTCGCTTCCTCTTCCTTCTCCGTTTCACTTCCTTATGGCCTGTACTTCCCGTTGCTGTGCCACGTCACTCCCTCGTTTCTCTCCCTTTGTGACACATCACCCTCTCTCCCACCCTACCTTCCCTATGTAAAGATAGAAGTCTTTTGCACTTTGCTAATTTATCCCCTCTTCGTCCCTCTCCCTTTCACTTCCCTTTCCTTCTCAAGGTCTGTTAGTTCCCGTTCCTTTGCCACGTCACTCCCTCGTCTCTCTCCCTCTCACTTTTCTTTCCCTATGGCCCGTCACTTCCCTTTCCCTTGCAATGTCTTCCCCTTCCTTTGTTACACGTCACCCTGTCTTCCACCGTCTCCCCTTTGGCCAGTATCAGACTCCCCTCCCCATGTAAGGATAGAAACCTTTTGCACTTTGCTAATATAGAGCCGATGTATTCCGTTGTTGTCAATTGCAATGCAGCGGCCGGTGTTAAAGCTCCCCCCCCTACGATATAAAGAAGTGTTGACTTACCTCCCTTCCCTTCTTATCTACGCCTCTCACCCTTCCGCTTCCCCTTCCTCCTTATGGCTCGTGACTTTCTCTTCCTATGCCCCGTACCGTCTTCGTCCCTCTCCCTTTCACTTCCCTGTCCTTCTTATGGCCCGTTACTTCCTGTTCCTATGCCACATCACTTCCTCTTCCTTCTCCGTTTCACTTCCTTTTCTTCTTATGGCCTGTTACTTCCCGTTGCTATGCCACGTCACTCCCTCGTTTCTCTCCCTTTGTGACACATCACCCTCTCTCCCATCCTCCCTTCCCTATGTAAAGATAGAAGTCTTTTGCACTTTGCTAATTTATCCCCTCTTCGTCCCTCTCCCTTTCACTTCCCTAAGTTCCCTTTCCTTCTCAAGGTCTGTTACTTCCCGTTTCTTTGCCATGTCACTCCCTCGTCTCTCTCCCTCTCACTTTTCTTTCCCTATGGCCCGTCACTTCCCTTTCCCTTGCAACGTCTTCCCCTCCCTTTGTGACACGTCACCCTGTCTCCCACCCTCTCCCCTTTGGCCAGTATCAGACTCCCCTCCCCATGTAATGATAGAAGCCTTTTGCACTTTGCTAATATAGAGCCGATGTATTCCGTTGTTGTCAATTGCAATGTAATGATAGAAGTCTTTCGCACTTTGCTAATATAGAGCCGATGTATTCCGTTGTTGTCAAATGCAATGCAGCGGCCGATGTTAAAGCTCCCCCCCCTACAATATAAAAAAGTGTTGACTTACCTCCTTCGTGAATCCCTACTTAGAGAAATGCCTCACCCGAAGAGATGTCTCAACCTTCTTCTTGAATGTTATCATCGCGCAATGCCACCGGCGTCACTTTCCTATCCCTTAACTCGTCATCCCCTCCCTTTGTTACTCGTCTCCCTCTCTTCCCCCCCTCTTACTGTGTTGTGTGTCGACATGCAGGACCCGCAAGTCCCGCACCTTAAAGCCCCTCCCGTAGCCCGGCACCGTAAAGCCCCTCCCGTAGCCCCGCCCCCTCCACACCTGTACGATCTCCTTCGTTGCACCCGTCGGCGCATTCCACCTGTGTCATGGCTGACGTCAGCGATCGTCACTCGTCGTCACGCGCCACGCCCAACGGCGCTTTCCACTTTTGCGATGTTGACGTCACCTTCGTAGCACCAGTACAGCGCTTCCGTCGTGCGCTAACCCATTGGTGCAATCGGTCTGGGCTTCTCTTGTCTTTCCATTGCACTCTGGATTTCTGTCAATTCGCTACCGCTCATTTCCCTTGCAATCATATTCCTTGCAAAAAAAACAATTGACAAAAAAAAAAAAAAAACCTCTCTCTATACAAACTTACAAATGTTTGGTTGTTTGCTTTTCTTTCATTTGACTGGTTTGTCATTCTTCCTTGCCTCTTTCTCTGGGCCCATGGTCGATCGCAAAGTTGAGAAGCGGAAAGTCAGGACGGCCACACTGAGAACAGAGCATGCCAACAGGAGAGCAATGAGAGAGCAAGAACAGATGGACGCTCAGATGCTCATCTTAAGACACAAGGAGGTAAGCTTACAAGCTCACATGTTTCGACATTTCCCAGGCTTTTTCCACTTACGGTTCAGGAAGAGAGCTCCATTGGCAACTCACCTACGTCTCATGTATTTGAAATGTTGAGGAAGACCCTCATGAGCTATAATGTTTTTTTTTTTTTTTTTTTTTTTTTTTTTTTTTTTAAACAAAGCCAGTATAATGTTGAAGTGACACACAGCTCAATTGTTCAACGAGAGAGAGAGAGAGAGAGAGAGAGAGAGAGAGAGAGTACTACACCTTTCCAAAGAGCCTGTGTGCCTTCTTTTTTTGGGGGAGCAGCTCCATCTATTGGTGGGGAGCATC